CATGCAAGAGGTATGGGCACTCTTATTAAGATTTTTTGTTTCCATACATATCAAAACATATATGCTATTAGTATATTGCTAGTGAAATTTCAAGCGAGAACCATAAAATCCCTACAATGGTTCGCTTGGTTTTGTTATATATTTCTAATTAAAATAGTTCATTTGGTAGGTAAATGGATTTGTGGATGTGATTAACACTAAAACCTGTTTGTGTTTCCCTTGTTAATCCTAACTATTCATTTTCTTAGTGGGTTGAGAAATCTTGGTTACACATAAACCTCTTGGCATCATTAGCTTGCGAGACTGTGCAAATATAATCATGGCCATAATTATTTGGCATGCATCATAGTGTTTATTGAGCCACTGTCGAATACTTCTGAAACTAGGCCACTTGATCTATTTCTTCATTTTATGAAGTAAAAAATCATAAAGTAGGCCATTTTTAAAACACAATAAAGTAGGCCATTGAATATATAGAAAAATATATATAGGTAAGAGAAACCTATTTTTGTTGTCTGTATCATGATGCTTTTTATTTTTTTCTTATAACATGACTATATAGTAAACAACATTACACCAATGTAGTTCTAGAATAACATACTCCCATCACATTAGTTTAAAGCTTCATTTTATTACATTCCAAAGATTATGTTTGATACTTTTAAAAAACAAAAGTTAGAGCTTGGATTGTAATTCTATAACTTGATTCATAAGCATATATTTGATAATATAGTTGTTATATAATTTGAGCAAAGCTAAAAATATAAAAAAAATTATAATTCAAAACGCCCCATGTGCAACAACTAGTTCAATAACAAAAGCAAACATTTAGAAATTACAGTAAAAAAAGAATAATTCAATAAACAGCATTTCAAGTGTCTCTTGTATGTATGTTAGTTACTTCTCAAAAATCTGCATAATGAATCTACCTCGTTCACCAACAACAAACACTTATTTCTGAAAAAGCTTGATGGCTAGTCGGATGAGGCTTATGGTTCACCATTAGTAATTCATTATTTTTCTCAGTAAGCAAAAGAAATGTTATAAGTTCATTAAATGTCTTGAACCCTATGCTACTGATATTGTTGTTACTATAAAATGTTTGACTTATGGAATATAGAATATGTTTTCTTCAATTTTTCTAAATCTAGTACAGACTGCACAAAATCCCAATTTACTAGGGATTCTATGTACTGCTGAATTATAGTAGCGTACGGTCTTAAAGTCTTGGAATCATAAGTCAAACCATGCATGCCTAGCCTTTGGAAGGATGGTGATTTTTTAGTGATCAAAGCTAACCTTTAAAATTTTCCACTACTTTAAAGGATCTTTAATAGTGAGGTACTCATTTTTAATCCTTCGTGCATGTGGCGGCAAAGAAAAGTCAATGACTTTGTGTGATTCTTAGGAGTTCTCATATTTTTATCCTTTATGGTATCTCCAAAGATTTTTTAAATCAAAGTAAAGCTCGACATCTAGAGTTCATAACATGTTGTACCTTGAGATGTCTAGGTCATGAAATTCTATTTTTTTTTATATTGGCCATTTTTTGTAAAAACTATATGAAACAAAATAATTGAGTTAAATAAACAAAATATGCTTGTCAAATTGTTGTTATAAATATTGGCTTGATCACAATTCTAAGATCACATAAACAAATTGATCACTTTGATCGTGTCTATGAATATGTTGTAGTATACAAACCATATATATGACTTCTTCAAAAAAACTTATATATCCGATTACCCGACCCTAAATCGACTTAATGCTTGGTTTATTTCCTCGTATTCCCTAAGCTCCGCACATGAACCCACAATGTGTATATGGGTTATATATGGGTGAGTGTCACTCTCACTCGGGTTTAATGCAAGAAATGGGAAAAACGGATGTGTGGAATAAAACGTGTGTGTGTGTGAACAAAAGTGCTCCCCAAGCATAGGGAGACTTTCGAGTGTTGTGTTTTACTTGAAAATCGTATTCCAAGGTTGTCTTCTCAAGGAAGGAGGTGAATCGTGTTGAAGGTGATTTTGTGAAAAAGAGAAAAATGCAAACATCTTTTGTTGTTTGAGTTTGGTTTGTGATTGTATCTTGATAGAATTTGAAATGAAAACAAGTGTTGGCTAATCCAAAGGGGTCATTCCAATGAGAATGCCAACTTAACTCGAGACCTTCCTCCAATGGTGTCTAGATGTTTGATTGATGCGTGGGAAGTGAGGGACTAGGGTGGAGGTGAGGATTCAAACATACCCCGTGACAAGTCTACGGGATATCAAAGACTCACAACTACGTTCACACTCAACCCAGTCAAACCGAATCAACGTACACTACGAGGAGGAAAGAAAATGAATTGAAATGACATACCCACGGGGAGGTCTCCCTTGGATTAACCAACTTAAAAGTTTAGCAACTCATATCTAAAGCAAAAACACAAATGTAATAGAAAGACATTATAAAGGAATGAAGATTGAAGCTAAGTTAATGCAAGAAAATATAAACTATGAAGTGAAATATGCAATACCCATTTTAAAACTTGAAAATGAAGAACTTGAATGCATTAATGGTGAACTCTAAAATGTAAGACTAAACTTGAAATGTACTTGTAATAAATGACATTAAAGACATTAAATGAAGCTTAAACCAGTCTTACAAGAAATTACAAGACAATGCACGGAAGAAAGTGCAAAAATATTAACTTCTCTCTCTAAAACTTCTTCTTTTTCCTTAGAGCTTTTCTCTCTATATTGCAATGTATATCCATCATGGTGAATGTAGCTCTTCAAAAACATCAATGGAGCCTCGTTAGTCTGTGTGATGGACCTCCAATCAATAGGGGGGGTTGAATGGATGGATTGGGCAGGCTAGCACATGCCTAACTTGCACACCTTGCTTTCTCTCTCTCCTTTCTTTTCATTAATGTCGAAGCATCCAAAAGTCCAAGCTAGGGTTGAGGAGGGGATGTCTGTGTGTAAAGAGTGTCAGGGACCAGTGGGAGACCCAATGATGGGACCTCAAAAGTTGTAGAGTTTGAGATGTAGAATCTGTCTTGTTTCAATAAAACTTACCGGTAGGTCAATGGAAACCTACCAGTAGGTTTTACTCCAGTGAGCAAAAACTATTGATAGGTTTGCGGTAGGTGCAGGTCTAGTAGCCAAAAACTACTGATAGGGCCTACTGGTAGGTTTTCCCTTGTTTTGCCAAAACCTTGAATCCTCCGCCTTTCAAGCTATTGTTAAGTCACCATCTCATCTCCAATCAACTCAAACAGTATGATAGGGCTTAACAAGTACCATTTAAACCTTCTTACCTGTAAACATACCAAAACTCCATTAATAGCTCGAACATTGCAGTTTTGCTAATTTTAACCACAAAAGTAAGTGTAAAAGAGATGTAAATGTACATGAAATATGCAATATTTTGTGCTAATCACTTAACCGAAGGCAAACCAGTAGTACATAGTTGGTTCGATTTATGAGTGGATACAAACCAAAACCTAGTTCATTTGAACCGCCTCTGACAACCTGTCTATAAATGCATCAAAACCTTACAACAACATCAGATCTCACATCTCAATTCTCTCTCTAAAAAGGACCACCGCTTCTCTTCTCTCTCTCCAAAAATCTTGAACTTCATCCTCTAAATTTTCTATGGCTTCAGAAACAAATTTCACACAATCTCTTTTTTGTTATCTTTTTTGTATTCTCCTTCTCTATGTAATAATGGTTTTTCTTTTTCTTTATGTAATTATGCATCACTGTGAACTTGACTTAATGCAATCTTATCACTTGTAATTTATTTGTATTTTTGTTACGTCAAATTAGTAGTCTTATCTTGTAACCTTGTATAGTAAAAGATCTCATTTATGTACATTGATTTGTCATCAAATGACTTTATTATAAATCTGCCAAAAATATATTGAGGCAAAAATATAATTTTTTAAAAGTTAAGAAGATAAGGGGGGTCAAATTATAAATTACTATATTATTAAGGCCACCGAACCCTTTTAGCTCTTGTGGGATCAATTTGACATCAAAACAAATTTTTTTTTTACAACTAGATAGTAGTTTCAAACAGTTGTCCTCCACTCCTTCAAGGTTTGAACAAATTTTACAGAAAGTAAATAAATAAATATGCATGAATATAATAAAAAAAAGTACCACAGACATCAATTAATATCTCGTGTGATGCTGACACAATTTTTACATTTAATAATTTATGAGCTTCAAACTCTATAAATTAAATTGTGATCTTTTGACATCATAATAATTTACAAACTTCAGGTATGTAATTTATATGCCTTTTTCTAACATAATAAATTTTCTATGTACTTAGGTACTAGATTTTTCTATCATTTTCTTTGGGAACATAATTTATAATAAACTCTTTATGTGTTGTAGGTACACAATTTTTGTGCTTCAGGCACTAATTCAAATATAATAACAATTTAAAAATTAAACACCCACTTTATGTTTTCTATTAACATGTATGACTTTATATTAAAACTAATCAATTCATATACTTGAATTTAATTTTCGGGTGAAGAAAATTACTCGGTAGCGACTCAGTTAGCTAGCTTTTATGTTAATAATGTATTGTGAAATTAACAAATAAATTAAGTGTAAACAATTAATTCATAAAACTGGTAGGGAGAATAGTGAGAAGATAGAAAATTTTCTTTTATTGGGTTGCATTTTACTGGTTGTGAAATGACTCATCTTATGGAAGAAAGAGATGAAAATACTATTCATAACTTTATGAATAATAATTAATTTGATGCACACTAATTTTACTTTTTCATCTACATTAAAAAATTTGTACTATGAACTAGTCTTCACGTGTAGTTGCAATGTATTATGGTCATTCAGTCTTCAAACGGTCATAGCTCTTCAAACGGCGAGGGTGTGTATGTGTTACATTTGTACATACTTTAGGGGTGGCAATGTAATTGTCCAAATTGTAATTAAGAGGATCCGGAACTGGTTGAGGTCTGCGGATGTCTCATGTGCTGTTGAGAGCGCCGTAACTCGTAACGTTTTGAACCTCCGTCTGCGAGTTCGCTGCTGCTAGTGGTCTGCCGAGAGCTGTTGACTGTAAATTGGGGAGAGAGAGAGAGAGAGAGTATGAAAGACAGAGAAGGTGAGAAAGAGTTGGTAACGCCAGGAGAAGTGTTGGGGAAGGCGTCGGAGTTGAAAGCGGGAAGAGGAGCTTACATAGCGACCGACAATAAAACAGTGTACGCCTCCCTGACCGGATTCCGCTCTCTTATCCCACCTGTACCGGATTCTCACGACCAGGTATTGTGTCTGTTAACCCATATAAGAAACTCCTCCGTTTGGTTACTTCAAACTGTTACCAAACACATATTAGAAAGAATGGTTGTTTCCATTTTGCTCTATATCTATTAAGGACACTCAAAAACGGAGAAGGGTTCGTTTTTTTTTTTTGTCCGGTGTTATGGTCTAAATTTCGTACTAATATTTGTGAGGTTGTAGGGTTGGAATATGTGGTGATGCAAATAATGGCATAAGTCTCCTTATTCAGAAACGGAAAAAAAGCATAATGCATCAAGCTGAGGTGTTTTGTGTTGTTTTCTTGTTAACCAAACATATGGAATGGAATTGCAGGGCCCAGTTTAAGACAAGATTTTACAAGTGTCCTTATGTTGCTTTGGAATTGGAATTGAGGACCATAATAGTTCATATCCAATTTTAATTCAGCTTTTCTCTGGTCCCGATACTGAGGCATGGAGGGTGTGCTTCCAAACACAATGTTTAATTAATATGCTTTCTAAATTCCGGCTGGGCCACCAAAAATTTTAGGCTAACAACCTCACAGTTTGAATCTGAAAGGAGCCACATTCTTCCACTCCTTTCCATGCCCTCGATTAATGGGACCAAACTGGATGATGACCCTTTGAAGCTTTATAGTTACCAATGGGATAATTCAGGAACATACCTCATGGGATGTTGACACATAAAACTAGCTTTGGCCCAGATCCCATGAATTTGGTGGTTGTGAGTGGACACTTTTTTGGGTGTGGTTTGGAGTTTTAGGTTGCCTTGTTTGAAAGGGGCTTGTTTATTCCGGTTTGTCATGGTTAAACTGGATAGATGCTTGAGTAGTGGTGTGCTTTCTACTGCTGAAATTAGTACCTTGTATTTTGGAATCATGCTCTCTTCTGGTTTCAACTTATGTTGATGGATTTGTAATCTTTGTTTGCTCTTTGAGCTTTCAATAAGAGTTTTTTTCTTCATTTCCTCTTATTTTTGTAAATCCATATTTTACTATCCAATAAAATTCAGTTTTATTTGAAAAAAGAGTTTGGAGATTCACTGGTGGGGAGATTGGAGAAGCGTCATGCAGTTCAAAAACCTCACAGTCAGCACTGTAAAAGGTGCAAACTTTCATTAGAAGCACTTGTTCTTGTCTTGCCACTAATGTCTTTCTTTGAAACTGCAGTTTTTGTGGGAGAGAGATTAGAGAAGCTACAGAGAGAATTTCTTATAGGACATTTGTAAGAGGAGGTAAAAAATGACTTGGTGGATTGGAAGTTGGTTGTACTATATTGAAGTACGATGCTTTGGAAGTCATCAATTAAGGGGTCTGTAATAGGCCCTCCTTGTTAAGTGGTTGTGGCATTTTGTTTTCGAGAAGGAGTTTGAGAGTACTTAGATTAGTGGTTGGGAGGATGGATTTTAGAATGGGTGGATGAATTTCTAGAGAAGTTAAAGTTCCTAAAAGCGGTTCTTTGGAAAGGAATAAGGAATTGATGGGAAGAATTCTTGCATTGAAGGATCAATATTTGGATTTGTTGCAAATTATAATGGACGAGGGTGCTCGATTATACATTACTTATCATTTATACCAGTTGTGGATCCAAATTCCCGGCAAGGTTTTAATGATTGGGAACAAAAGGCTATTGCTTACTTTTGGAAAAGCTACAAGGTTGAGGTGGAAGATTCTAATCAATGTAGATTGACAAACAATGGACTTGTTAGTTTGAAGGTCAGAATTTGGTATTCCATTGGAAGTCTACATAGTTTGAAGGTCAGAATTTGGTATTCCATTGGAAGGCTACATAGTGTACTAATGTCCCGCTGACAGTGGCTACTTGGATGCTAGCATTTCTGGATAGCCTTTTTTCATCATTGATAGCTTGAGGACAAGAAGAAATTTTAATTAATTAGTACAACATGTCTAAATGAGGTTAGGAGAGATGAATCACCCTCTGCATTGCATGATGGAAAGGTAGTTATGGAGTTTGGTATTATTGCCTTTTAGGTCCCATTTGGATGACAATAATCTTAATTGAGAATGAGCATCTCATTCCTAGTAAAGTAATACCTGAGTTTCAAAATTGTAGTAATCTTTTATTTAGTGTTTGATGTCATTAGTAATCTAGTATCGGAATGGATATCTATTTTATTATTGTTTTTAGTAATTAACTTTATTTTAGGAAGGAACATGATTTTAAGTAAATAGTTTAGCTTTAGCAATAAACTAAATTTTTGAAAAAATTTTGAATTTGACTGTTTTTTCCTTTTTAAGAATACCCAATTTAAGTTGGGTATGAGACTACCATATTGATAGTGGGTTTAGGATTCCCACCATCATTGGGAATTTGATTCCAATAATGATTTTATTCCCGATATAAATTACTGACTCATTAACCACCTCCATATGGTAATCATGGCTTTAGGAATGAGATTATCATTCCAAAGATTACCGCCATCCAAATGGAGCCTTAGGGTATAATGGATTACTAGGGCTCGATTCCTCCTTTGATGTACTGTTGGAGATCAAGATGATCTAGAAACACAACTAAGGATGTTTTTGGTTTGGTGTTTGAGCACTTTATATTGTGGTTTTCATCTATAGATTTGTATAGAGTTTTAGGTGACATGTGCACGCCATAATTACACCCTTGTTTTGGTGCTTTTCTCTAATTATTAAAGGATGAATTGTTTCCACCTCCCTTGAGATTTGGTCAAATAACAACAATGCCTTCTCATGTATCAAAAATAACACTGACCTCCCTTGTCAGTAACGTCTGTCTCGTGTGTAACAAAAATCAATAAAAGACTATAATATCCTTCCATCTCTTTCACTCAAAAGTCGTCTTCTCCATTTTGTCATACCCAAGCTCATTATTGCTCACTCCCCTCTCCTTCTCACCTTCAATTCCCAGCACCTCCAACAGCCACATCTCAAAAGCCATAAATCACAATCTATTTCTCTATGTTTCTTGTTTTTCTCCTCCCACTTTATCTAGACACAAATGCATATTTATATAACCAACATGTGTCAACAAATTTTCTTCCATAGCATCCTTCTCCCTCTTTATATGTATATATATATTTATTTATATCTCCCCTCCCCAGCTCCATTGTGCTTATTCGACAAGGAACACCCCCCACCCAGTCACACACACACTCCATTACCTCAATTGCGCACCTGCAACCACCGCCATTGCCAAGCCACAATGCTGTGCAGATACATATACACAGAAAGACACTACCTCCTCTATATTTATACTACTATTACACTTTCATTAATTGTTGTCCACTAACATAATCAAACCCACCATTGCCTCCCTCCCTTTTTCTCCCAACACATCAACCAAAAAATTCATGAACTCATTCTTACCAACAACTCATTTCAGCCATAAAACCAATTTGAAGTATAAAACACCCCCCAAAATACCCAATTTAGTTGATAATAACAATTTCTCCGGTGAAGTGCAACGGTGATGGGTGAGTTGTGTGTGTCGATGTACATTGGTGATGCATATGTTGCAATAGCTATAGTGGTGGTGCCTATTCAGTATTGGAGTGATGTGGAGGAGATGGATCAAGGGCTGCCTCAATGAATCCATGAGAGAGAAACTGGAGGTCGGGTGGAAAGTGGGTTATTGTGATATGGCTGGTTGGTCAGAAGGAGCTATTTTGTTTGGAAACATGTTTAAACTATCAATATTGAAGATATGGTTTATTTGGTTACTAGTGCAAGATAAATATAACTTAGATAAGGGCAATATTGGAATTTTTTTAAAAAAAGTTGCTTATATAAGCAAACTTCTGACGTCGCCTTAACAACCCACTAACGACTTGGGGAATTTGTTACCGACAACAAAAGCAGTGGGGAGGTCAATGTTATTTCCCATATCTAAGGGGTTCTCGTTATTTGACCAAACCTTTGGGTATTGATTGAATTGGGTTTGATACTTGTTATATTATGTTTTTCTAGCGTAAGGGTATTTTGGTAGTGTACGCTTTCATGCACACATGACAAACCTTCAGAGATTGCCTCAATCTAGTTGCACCACTTCTTTTACATTTTCCTAGGATAAGATGCGGACTCTCAGGTGCCTGATGGCTCAGCTTGATGTTTTCTCTACCATGGCTTCTAATCATGCCTCTTCTTCCAACTTTGCTCATACTGGTATATCTACTAGTTTGTTTATTGCGCTATCCTCGTATACTCCTTAGATAATAAATTCTGGAGTCACAGATCATATGATAGGTTCTTCTAGGCTTTTCTCTTCATACTCTACATGGTTTGGTAGGGATAAAGTCAATATGACAAATGGATCCTTCCCCCTAATTTCTAGGAAATGTTCAATTAATTGCTCACTTACCTTATCCCTTTCTTTTATTCTCCATGTTTCAAATTTCTCTCTTAACTTATTGTCGGTTAGTAGTATTACCAAATCATTGAATTATTCAGCACTTTCTTTTCCTACTCATTGTACATTTTAGAAATTGGAATAAGAGAAAATGATTGGCAGTGGTAGAACACTTGGTGGTCTATATCTCCAAAATGATGAAGCTCCTCCTCAGCCTACTTGTCAAGCTTTCCATGTAGATGATGTTTCGAGCCTTTAGCTACTACATCAGTGTCTTAAAGTATCTTTTTTCTAGTCTAGTGAAGCTATGTGGTAGATAATTTTTTGTTTATAATGCTTGTGAATTTACCAAGTACAAATGTTCATCTTATCCTAATACTAATAATAAATACACTGCTTTTTTTGCTATTATTTATTATGATATGTAGGGACCTTCCCGTGTTGTATTTCTCTCAGATTGTGGGTGATTTATCACTTTTATTGATTGTTATTTTCGTCTTACTTGAGTTTACTTACTACGCACTAAAAGTAAAATTTTCTCTTCCTTTCGATCTTTTCATAAAATGGTGGATACCCAGTTTGATACCAAAATCAAAATTTTTTGAAGAGATAATAGAACTGAGTACATTGATGGAGAATTTTGCTCTTACCTTATTGAGAGTGACATAT